AGAGAGAGAGAGAGAGAGAGAGAGAGAGAGAGAGAGAGAGAGAGTCATACAAGCGCAGGTAAGCGCCTTGCTTGGTGTTTGGGGTACATGCTTTGTGTAATGGGTTGGGGCGACGTCTTTACTTGTCAACGAGCGTTGCTGCACCTGCCAAATGCGAGACAGTGTCGAGTCACAAGTGAAACCAGTCGGTTCAACTTTGCCTGGCCACGCGACAAATTTTTCACTGCGATAAGGGTAAATAGACACTGGATGTACAGTAGTATTCACTCACCTAGCACCATCATAGGTGAACTCAATGCCGAACCGTGGAGGAAATCCAGAAGGTGAACTCAAGCGACAGCCAACTACTAAAACTAGCATGAGTCGCAGCTGCGATGGATGCGGGCGGCGTGTGTCGGGCTGGGGACTGTTGTCCAAAATGATTGCCCACCACCACCAAGCGCCCTCCGCTAGCTCCGGTGTGAACGGTGCACGCATAGGGGAAAGGCACCATCGGATACAGAACAGAGCACTCTACCGTTTATTGTTGGATTTTGCGCACATGCTATAGTCTACATACCAGCTCCCTTATGCAAATCAGAGCGCTTGAATGAGTTAGGGAAGTCGTATGGACAACAATGTCGATCGTGCGAAAACCCAACGATAGATATCCATTCCGAAGAGAGGCAGAACAATTATATCATGTTTATTCGGCGGGTGGTGTCTGCCGTCGTCTATGTGGTACACGTGAGAGAAGAGCGTTCTTCCGAGTGAAAGAACTTTCTCTACAGTAGAGAAGGAGCAACTCGAGACTCTCAAACAAACCGTAGACCATCGGCATATTTCGTGTTTGCATGTGTGAGCAAAGTGGACCTGACGGCTGTATTTCATGCACGCCACATTATTGTCTTGCCAGCCCCACAGCCACCGCTTTCGATTGGCTGGTTTGTATGTAGTATCCTCAAAAATGCCCGAGGGTCATACATCGTGGGAGTGATTCTGAAATGAGTGTAGTTTTGAAACGGCGAAGAACAGGTGGAATTATCAGGCTTGGATATGTGCTACCCAATCTAACACACCTAGCCTCCACTTCCTGCTTGGAGGTGGGGCCTTGCGTTAAGGGGATCGTGGTATGGCAATCAGGCCATGCCAACTCTCGGCGAAACGCCCACAAACCACCCCTCGTGCGATGGAAACCGGTACATGACCCAAAACAATATCGCACCGCAGCTCAAGCAGTGACCGAGCGACCCTAAGGACTGTGCTGCACCCTGCAGGGCCTTGTGTATTCCTACCCCAGAAGGTTTGGGGACAGCCCGCTTAGACTACGTGGTGACCTCGGCTGACTCTGGAAGGAAGACGACTTTGGGGCTGCCATTGGGTGCAACTCTTGCCGCTACATGTGTCTCCTGCTGTCTGAGGTAGAATATGATCGCCTGCACCGGATGTACAGGCTCGACTTTCGTCCACCTACGTGTAACGGGTGTTCAACCTTGCATTTTTTTTCTGAAGGCCAAGGGAGCATCATGGACGACGAACGCAATAGCCCCATGATCGAGGACAACGGATCTCTTCGTTACCGTTCCAACCAAGCAGGGGAGGATGACACTGTCCTGTGCTCCTCCCCCAACCACGCAATCGGCGGCGGTTCGATTCATCCTACATGTACGCAGTCCTCCGAAGCATCGTCTCCGACCCGAGACGTGATGTTCCACGCAGGGGCAGGACAGCAACAGCACCTTTATCACACGCCTCACCACCAGCAGCAAAACAACCAACGAGGAAACACCGCGAGTCGTCTGCCGCCGGCGAACGACGGCGAAACAACTCCGACGAGACTTGGCCTGAGCATGCCCCCCCCCGCTGGCGCCCTCCGCGTCGGCTATGACGTCTACACATCAGAAGGGCCGGACTTTCAAGGACAGCATCGTTACAGCCGTCTGCAACAGTCACAGCAGCGGCTGCAGCTGCAGGAGCAGGCTGCATGCGATGCCAAAAGCCCGATGAGTCTGAGCATGTCTCCCCTTGCCTACCCCACCTGTGATGGCGACGGCGGCGGGCATGCACTCGACATGACCAATTCCAGACAAGGGCAGCCGCAGCAGCAGCAACAGCCACAACCGTCTACCGTCAATTCAGTTCTAGAAGAAGTGGCAACACGTCGGTCATTGAGGTCGCGTTCGCAACAGCAGAGCAGGGACACCGAAATCGCGCGCAGGGAAACGCCCACGAACGTCAACCGGCGGGCCGTGACGGAGCCGAGGCTCCTGTGGTCGGATCTGGATGCTGATGAGCCCAGTTCTCCTGCTACAGGTAAGACGAAACGGCAGGAAGTCGGCGGTGGACAATGATAAAGGCGCAATTTTCGTTCGCGGTGTAATTCTGTCAAAAGTGGTGTCGGCGTGCGTGTTGTATGGAAGCATAGACGCACGATCACGATGGGTTTCCCTTTAGAAGCCGCAGAATAAGCTCAGCATCGATTGTTGGAATTTCATGCAGAAAGGCCGCCCTCTCGTTTGGCACATGAGAGATAAAAACGAAATTCCGGTCGCCTTTCGCGCTCTCCCCCTAACGCGCCGATCTATGCCCTCTCCTCGAAATTGAAATTCACTGCAAAGCGCGAGAGCGGCGAGCAGCGCAGGGCGACAGGAGCGGTGAGGATGCAGATGGAGCAAGAGGTACGACCACACGTCCGGCAGGAGGTTCGGGTGCCCAGCTTCTCGACGGCATCGATTTTGACGACGACGAAGACCCGCGGGACATCCTCGCAATATGCAAGCTGGGGGACAAGCTTGGTATCGCTGCAGTGAGTACGTCCTGGCACCGGTAGATGTTCTGGCGACGGTGGCGACGCGGACTGGCCGTCCGCGATCTTCCCAACACTTTTGCTCAGCGTGTTTCCCCAACTGAAATCGTCTCTTTCACTCCGTCTTTCTCTCACTCTCTCTCTCTCTCTCTCTCCCTCTCCCCCCCCCCCCCCCCNATGCGAGGTCAATGGTCTAACGACTACGGCATGCACGACTATGAGTACCCCCCCCCCCCCCCCCCCCCCTCTCTCTCTCTCAAACACACACATATACCCTCTCTTCCTTCCTCCCCGCTTCACTTGCCGGGCATCGTCTTCAAGTATCGTGAGGCGATCAACGCCATCGAAATTCAGGAGATCCACGTGAGAAGAAAACGAAGAAGTAACGGTACACAAAAGCGTGAGGCTCCCAATGCAGTCCCAGGCGACGACTTGATCGCAAACGGATAAGGAGGCGCACTAATGTAGGCCACCCCAATGCTAAAACGTATGAGGGCTGGTGGTGGTCGAAGCGCAATGGATTTTGGCTTGAAATGAATTATCGTGAAATTGAAGAGTAGGACGGGCTTGGGGATGGTACAATTTGGTGGCGCTGGTGAAAAAAAGTGAATATGCGTGCGTGCACGCGTGTACCCAGACGTCGAGCAATCAGAATAGCATGGGGCTAGAAAATCATTCACTCTCATTGCAACTGCTTTTGTCTCACGGGCTGTCAATGGAACTTCCCCGTCTTTTCCTTCATCACCGTAGTTTCACGCGAAGTGCGTTCGTTCCATTCACTCGTTTCGAGACAAGCTCGTACATGTTAGATACGCCCAAGACGAGTATCCGTGCAGCACAAATACTGGCAAGAAAAGGACCTGAATTGACCCAAAACAACTCTTC